AAAAAAAAAAATCCCCTTTAGTGTTGTAAAGCCATCACAAGTGGACTTAGCACAGGAGAACCAGCATGGAAAGAGCAGCTCGGGCATGGCACTGACTGGTCTAACTTCACCTTCAAGCACAGTCACACCCAAAGACACATCCCACCCAGGCCCCTTCCCCAATTCAGTTAAGCTAAAAGCACCAGTGTGACAGCACTGCTACCCACCCACCCCCCTCACCCCCCCATCCTGCCCCAAACCACTGTTCTGTAAAAGTATATTCAACATTCTCAATAAGAAAGGAAAAGGAAACAAGACATAGGAAAGAACAAGCAGAAAATAATTCTCAGTGATTTTCTAAATCCATCATAATTTGCTTTATCTATTTAGTGGCTTGATGATATGTAATGTTTCTGTTATCACTACATTTAGATGTGAATAAGCTATTTCTGTACTGTCTGATGACAGAATTCAATTACTGGCATAACAATTGGAAAGGAAGCAAGCAGCCTAAAACACAAACAAGAACCTAGAAAACAAAAACAGATTGAAGAAACTGAAAGGAAGGTTGAGAGAAAAGAAAAAAATAAGGTGAGTCAAAAACATTCCTAAAAACAGCCATTGAAAAACAATAAGCAGTGGTCATTAAGAACTTCTAAAACATGTAATCCATGAAGTCACATGATGGGCATTAATAATCTAACTGCTGTGAATCAAGTAAGCAGCAGTAATGGGAGAATTTCAACTACTGTATCCTAAAACACTAAACGGAAGCAATCTGTTCTCTACCAGCTGACACAGTGACCAACAACAGCAATTCCACTTCAATTACAGCAGCACAGGTGAGGTAAAGCTGTGAGCCAGCACTGATGGAGGAACAGGATCACTGATTACCTCATTTTGTAATGAAAAAAAGCAACAGAGAAAGAGAAAAAAAGTTCTCTGAGGTCTAGAAAACTTCATGCAAAGACTGTTACATGATGATAGAGCAGATGGAATAAACTGGGGGACACAGAAAGCATACAAGGTGCAAGAACAGAGTGTGTGTGTATGTGTGCACAAGTGAACAGGGTAAATAAGCACAAACACAGCTAGAAGCCACATGCAAGTCAAAGCCCACACTCCTGCCCTGGAGCAGACACAAGCTCCCCTCTGTAATTGATGGCTCTAAGGACATAGGCAAGCACAGAGAGCAAGGGAGCAAGTCATGAGCAGGTCATTTAACACAGCCTAATTAATCTGGGGGCTGTTTCCTCCTGCTCTCTCTTAGCTATGACTTCTAAGAATGAAACTGTCATGTAAGACATCCTTCCTGACACCTTCAACTCCCTGGCTGACTGTAACCTCCCCTATCTAACAAACCCAACCGTGTCAATATTGGTTTGTTTTACCTTTCTTCCTCGCTTTGACGGCCTCTTCCCACAATCTCAGGGTCTCTACCTGCTTTCCAGGCCAACTTGTTACGTGTTGCTGCTGCTGCTGCTGTTGCTGCTGCTGCTGCTGTTGTTGCTGTTGCTGTTGCTGCTGCTGTTGCTGCTGTTGTTGTTGCTGTTGTTGCTGTTGTTGCTGCTGCTGTTGCTGTTTCTGGTTGCTGGTCTCTTCACTCATGCATGCTATGCCAATCAAGTAAGAACACAAATTCACCTTGAAAAGTTACTGTTTTCTGCTGAGATCATAAAGGCAACTTCTATACAAAAAGCATGTGGAATCTCACAGGATTCCAAGAACAAAATCACAGTTTTTAAAACAATATCATTAATTCTGTGCTTCATAAAACTACTTTTCCAAGAGCTAAAAACCAAAATATAAGTCAAGAACATCTACTTTAACTGCCAAAAATGGACTTCTTTTGTCATTATTTAGTTTGTATTTAGGAAGAATGAAATTAAAGACTCCAGTGAGTCTCCAGAACTCAAACTGATTCCACTTTTTCTAAACTTTAGCTCCAGCTTAAAAATGAAAAATAAAAAAGCCTTTTTACTTTTTATCAGAAGTATGACTCAGTTTACATCAGAGAACAGCCTGTGGCTACTCTCTGGCCACAGTACAGCTCATCATTTCCAACTCTAATAACTGCTCTAAATGCCTCATGTGAACTGGCTTAGCACCACCAAACTGGCTTGGGAAGCCAGAGTTGTAACCCTATACCTTGAAAAATATTTCACATCCAAATTTCCTACTAAGCTCAACAATCAGGCATTTCAGACATTCCCAGTACCTTCAAATTATCCAGGAGTAACAGGAACTGCAAAGATGTTGTAAATTAATACAGTTTAGAAGGCTTTAAGGACAAAGTTTACAAAGACATTCTGTACTTCTGCCTCTTTATTCCTCTGAAAACCCGTTTTACATTACTAACCATGTGGGTTAACTTAAGTTACAGATATTTTAATAGGGAAAATTTGAAAGTCAAGTCTTCATTTGCTTGCTAGGCACCCCCAGGTCCAGACTGCAGCATTTCCACAGAGTTTAAGTCTTAAAGGAGCTATTACAGACATCTCATCTGACCTCCTGCACAACAGAAGTCAGATGCCATTAATGCCCAAAACATACCAGGGCTGGGTTTAAATCCTTTTCTTGTCAGCTACTGCCTGAGAGAGGAAACACTGAGCCCCAGGGTCAACGCTCAGAGAAAGCAGAGAAAACTTTCTCCTGATTTTGATGAGCTTTAGATGAGGCTTCAGACCTGAAACCTGGCAGATCTTAGCAGTTCTTAACTAGTCTAAAATCTCCAAACTATCTGTTGGACTTTTAGGCCTGCACAGTTCAAGAAGTAGCACTGAACTTAAAAGGTGAGAAAACTTGGGAACTCTCTTCTTCAAGAGATGAGTCACGTCATGAACTGCAGGGCATTCCCAAGGGATAAGAGCACAGTCTGCAGCAAACCAACTCCACACATGCCAATCCTTGAGTTGAAGCAGATTCTGTTACTAAATATCTACTGTTAAAAGGTGTGACCACCCAGAGGGACAGACACCTAGCTGAATTTTAACATCATCAAAGGCAATTCTCTTCGCAAACACATAGTTATTAGAAATGTTTGTAAAACGTTCACCTACTTTTATTGATGCCTTGTTTACAGGTATTACAGTTGATACTTTGGCTCTGCCCGTGTGTCTTTAAGTGGCTGGTGATATATGCTGCACTCAGAAGTTTACCACAGATATTACACGATACCTTTCCTTCATGGCGCACCATGTGTGTCCGCAGTCTGTCTTTGGTGGCAAAGGCAGCAGTGCACGTCTAGATGAAGGACAAAGTTACACTTGAGGTGCAGACAGAGCAGCACAGCCTCAGCTACAGGCCCACTGGGAGCCCATGTTACCATGCAGGTTGTAACAGGATCCTAAGTGTACTGGCAACTTTAAGTTTTACCCATATTTATAGAGAAACGAAAATCAAGCTACTCAGCAGAGACTGAGAATAGAATTTGCTTCTGAGACAATCAAGACAAAAATCATACTCTATACTGCTTGAACTTAAAGCAGTGGGTTGTCTTACCCACCAATCCAAGAGGGAGCTTATAAAAAGCACCTACAATATGCAAAGTTGGTTTCTAATGTAATTTTACCGAACAAATATGAACTTGGTCCCCTATAATGCTCAATTACTTCTGCTCCCATCCAAAACAACTTTTTCTAACACTATTCTTTTTACTCAAGGTTTTTATTTAATAAGTCACTAAAACACAGGTTGGAATAAGCATGGGTATTCCAAGCAAAACAGTTAATTGTTCAAGGGCAATCAAATTATTTCTCCTAGACTCAGTCATCAACTTATGACAACTTGCTTTCCCCTTCCAGCAAAATAACAGATCCAGAATCAACCATTCCCACCCATTTTAAATAGATGTGCTGAGAAAGACATTTGATTTGAACATGCTGAGAAACACACTGCACACATTACCCCAGAAATGAGCACTGAGCTGAGGATGCTGCTACAATCCTACTACTAAGTTAAGCATATGGTAAAACAGAGCAACTACGCTGTTCTCCAAGAAAGCAAAAAGCCTCTAATCTTCCTAAAAAAGCAGCCATGGCATCTTTTTAAAGTTCCACTAGAACTCCAGCACCATGGTGTGGTGGCGGATGTGGCTTTACTCCTAAACTTGCTTTTCAAAATTCTAGGAGTAAATACAGTTCTGGAAAGATTCACCTGAGTACTACTGGCACAATAAGGTATTGTTCTTTATAAACCATTTTAGCCCTTACTTGGCATTTGAAGGGTCTCTCTGTTGAGTGAACATGTTTAACGTGACAGCTTAAATGATCAGGCCTGCAAGAAAGAGAGAACAGGAGAAAAGTGCACAGTGTTACAAACACCGAGTCGGGACACCATGGCTAGCGGTGCTGACACCGCGCTGGTCACTCCCTGCAGCCCCCATCCCTCTGACAGCCAGGATAAAACCAACCTGTGGTTTCAAACTTAACTCTGCTCTCCTCACACACCTGAAAATGGCACATTTGGTCACACCTTGTGTAAAGGTGAGAGCACAACAGTTCTAAAGGTTGAAGTTTTCTCTGTTGCAAGTACAGGTACAAACAGAGCCGGCAGCAGTGCAAGCTGCCCCTGTGCTCTGTCAGTGCCCTCCACCCTGCTGTAAGACCAGGTGGAGACCCTGCCCTGCCCCATTTGGTCACAGACCACGGCAAAGGCTGGTAAGGGAGCTCTGTGCCCACCCCCAGCGACACAGACACACATCTTATGGGACCTGGATGAGGTTGAGAAACCATTTCAAACCACTGTCCTAAAAAAGTGACCACTTCTGGCCATTGCTAACCTTGCTCAGATGGAGACTCCCCCACCCAAAGGCAGACAAGGCTCTTTATCCCCTCACCAATCTCCTGAGAAGTTTGGTTCTCCCAGCTCCTCACTACCATAGCATAACCCTTCTTGCTCATGAAAAGCCAACAGCGGAGCATGCCTGGGATTTGCTACGTGGTACCTTGAGAAGCCTTTTCCACAAACACCACAGGTGTAGGGTTTCGTGATGCCACCTTCGTGAGACCTCACGTGGTAGGTCATGCGATCCTTTCTCTTGAAGCGCTGATTGCAAATGGGACATTCGAAGGGTTTCTCGTCGGAGTGGGACAGCTTGTGCCGGTTGAGGTGGTAGACGTCCCTGAAGGCCTTTCCACACATCTCACAAGCGTGGTTCTTCTTCACGGGCTTGCTGGGCTTCTTCACCGTCTGCGTCACCGCCATGGCCGTGGCACCAGCGCTGCTGCTGGGGTTGGTGGCAGAGGAAGACGTAGTGACTGTGGACAGGATGCCTGCGATAGTCGAAACCAGTGAACTCCGGCTGTTGTCACCAGCGATGGTCGAGATAAGGGGCACCATTGTGGTGGGAGTTTTCTTTGGCCGTGACACTAACTTTATCCCTGTGTGGCAGGACTCGTGACGTCTCAAATGGTAGCTGTCCCTGAAAGCTTTGCTGCAGTAAGTGCACACAAAGGAGGTTTTAGGTTTTTCCTTTTTAATCCCAACAATAGCATCCTTTAATGTTTCTGGTGCAGGCTGAGGTTTCTGCGTTATTGGTAAGGGCAGAATCGGCTTCTGATCGGGCGGCTCAACAGCAGAGCTCAGGAGAGGCAACAAACTGTTCTGTGCTGCCTGCTGTTGGTGATGGGAGGCTTCGTGTGCCTAAAACCAAACATTCACACTTAAATTCTCTGGATGGCTGCTCGCTCTGGCACGGTAAGAACATTTACAAACGACAGGGAAGCACATTCTAGACCAAAAGCCATGGAAGGAACAACAGGGGAAGGTTACATAATGCTGGTTTTGGACAAGATAAACCGCTCGTGCTGTAAATGCCCTAGCTGTGCAGATCCTGTGGCAAGTGTAGGACACAGCAAACAATCAAGGAATTATTAAGTTTCTTGAGGGCAACTTTTTACAGAAGACAACCAGGTGCTTGTCAGATCTTTTAGTAACAGCATTTCCTCTTTACATAACATATAACTCATTTGCTAATGATTGTATCAGATGGCACCTCAGGACTATCTCTGGAGAGGATGAAGGTACTGACAGGAGTTGCAAAATAAGGCCCCACCTTTAAGCCGAGCTTAGTGCACACTGAGAATTGAACTGCAGCCACAGAGAGCCAGGATGTGATAAGGCGTCTTATTTAAACAGTGTGTTCATACTCCTGTGCCAGCACTGAAACCAAAGCAACTGCAATCGGGAGCTGTCTAAAGCCACATCTCTATATTTAGCAGGTTCCTGATGCATTTATCCACTGACCACTGTGCTCTCTGCGTCTGGAACTAACAAGAATAGCGGCACGGCCTTTTTCTCTTCGTCAGCAGCTACTTTGTGCGGGGAAGAGAAGCTGATCGATACACACTGGGAGACATCTAGAGATGCTGGAGAACACAGTTCAGGGGTATTGGGAATAAACCCTGAAAGCTGGTTGAAAGCAGCCAATACCAACTAACTTTGAACTACAGAATCTGTGGCAGAAGCTACAGGGAAGGGAAGGGGACCACTCAGCTGAGCTGCAGCCTGCCTGCCACGGGCTCTGCTGCACCACGCGAGGTTATTCTAAGGCAGAAACACTGTTATTAAAACTCATCCAGTCAGACTGGGACAAAACCCTGGCAGATACAATTTTAATGTGGTTTAGAAACCACACAGACCAATTCAGCCTAATGGAGAATTAAAATAAATCACTCCAGCACCTTAAGCCAGTTTAAGTGCATCTGTATTCAAGATGTGCCTCGGTCTCATCAGACCAGTTTTAAATCAGGCTCGTTATTAACGCAGCGTGCCAGGCCTGAAGCTGAGTTTGGGGAAACTTGCATTCCCATTAGATCAGTAGTGCAGCCTTCCAGGACTCCTTTCCTATGGTTTTCCTCACAAAAAGCACGATTCAAAGCTGTGAGAGCTGAATAAAACACTGCGCCAGTGCACGACCCTGACCTGTCTACTTTTACATCTGTTGGGGTGGACAGTACTAGGAAGCACACTCAGGCTAATGCTCTTCCCATGGGAATCCATTTCAACACATCCTTTGGACAAGCCAGTATTTCTAGAAGCTCACTTTGGGCCTTTTTCCTAGTTGTATCCTGGGTGCTTTGCCTCTCTGGATCGCAGCAGGGACTACAGCCCTCTCAGAGCATCTCTCCCTTGCTGTGGGGCAGCTCCTGCATTGCTCCAATCTCACTTTTTGGGAGCATGATGCTGGTGATCTCTGGATAAAAGCCATGGGTGGATACCAACACTAACCCACGTGGGAAGGAATACAAGCTCCCAAACACTTCAAGCCTATCTGACAGGAAAACAGTTCACAGGAGAAAGCCTGGACTCCTCCGGACGTTTACAGGAGACAAAACTTGTGGGAATCATTAGGAGCCAGGCTAGGCTGTCCATCTGTATCTGCTTTTTAGATCCATCTGTGCCAAAGCTGGGGATGCAACAGGTAGGCTGGATATTACCACACCTGCCTGGCCACAGCAGCCACCTCAAACAACAGCCCAAGGGGCTGGCTTATTTCAGGGAGTGAGTGCCGAAGAGCTGGATCCAGAACTCTCCTGGAGGCGACGCTGCTAAATCAGGGCACGGCACAAGCTCCAGCAGCTCCATTAAACTCTTCCCTGACTTCAGTGACAATTGTGGATTTTCAGCCATTTATTTTCCACATTTTTAAAAAGGTTTTGACACTTCTACGTTGCATGAAAGTAAGAGTTTGCGTGATACACACCGACAGCACAATACTGAGCAAGTTGTGCACTTCAACACAATTTTAACTTAAAAAAATCTGAAATGTTTTACAACTTCAAATCAGCATTAAACAATGTTGTTAAACTGCACCAGAAGACACTGCAGAGCACCTAATGATAGCTCCAGAGATACAATTTCAAAGGCAGAGCTAGCAGATCGGATAATGGAGAGCCCAAATCCTTTGGACAAGGTTCAAACTTAGGCAGTTTATGGATATTTTTAAGCCTCAGCACTTCAAGGTAATGATGCACTTATTCGTACAGATCCGATGGAGACAGTGGACATAAAACAAAGTATATTCATCAGGCTACAGGCTATGGAGCTGCTGCTTATATAAGTCTTGGTTCCCGGGGAGGCAGCGTTATTCGCAGCACCGTGCTCCTCGCAGCCCTTCTGCCACGAGCCGTGTTCCTCGGTTTCCAAGGGCCGTTAAAGCCTTTTAAAAAAGGATCAGGCAGCATTTTTTTTTTAACTCCCTGTTGGAGAAGGGAAGCCAGCACCTGCTGCACGCCTCTGGCAGGCGCAGTTATGCGGGCTCCCACCACCGTTTTACTTGACCCAGGACTAACATCAAGTCAACATTTTGGAGATATTTGGATGGCCTGGGATGGGCTCTTGTGCAAAATCCCCTTGTTCTGTCACTAATTCCTTCTCTCCTGGGGGGGCAGTAAACAAAAAAAACCTGCAATTCATGACCCGGAGTGTAGGATGTGGCACTGTGAACTGCCAATGCCAGAGGCTAAAATATTTCTGTGCTCCAGCCTTAATGTGAGAGCAACAAATTAGCATGAGTCATATCTTGAACACTCCATCTGATGGATGAGTCCTCCTCACATTAACAGATACAACTTTCGCTTCCCAAGCACATCCTAAAAGTGGTTTTCAAACTATGCATTTTGGGGACTAAGAAGATCCAAACAAGAACTGCTTATTCAGTAGCACGATTGTTTCTTTAGAAAGGGATACAATTCATCAAAATGCCACCTAAAAACAATCAAACAACTTTATTTGGAAGGAGCGATTTACAGTCACACAGCCCACTGCTACAGGACTAAGACTTCTAAAAACATTTGGCTAAAAATTACAACTTTATATTCCACGTATTAAGCTGTCCCTTAGGAATCCTGTCCCAGCTGGAACACACACTTGGTTTAACACTCCCGCCAGGAAGAACGAGTGTGAATATTCAGTCACTTCCATTTGTAATTTAACTGACACTGGGAAAAGGCTTTTAAATCCACGCTTTTTAACTAGTTTTAACTAATCAGCTGGATCAGGGCTGCTGTGCTGCTGTGAGAAGGGGAAGAAGAAAAATGAAAGTCACATCAGGACTACCTCAGTGCTGCTTTCTGCTGGGTGCATTGGCATGCTCGCACCCCAAATCATTGATTTTAACAAAACCACTCAAGAAACAATATCCAGCATTTATTATGAGCTCTGAAAGCTTTATTATTTAGAGGAGAAAAAAAAAATCAGAGGAAAATTTCCACGTCACAGTTTTATGAAGATGCTTCCGAGTCGCACATTCGGAAAGTGAACTGCTGACTCCTTAATTAAAAGCAGCAAAGCTGACTCCTAAATCAGCGTGTGACATCACTACTTCAAAACTCAGCACCTTCAAAAAAAACCACGGACAAGCAGCGAGGAGCTGGACACGTACTTGAAAGCATTACTTGGCATTTCTCAGCCTGCTGCAATACAGTCCTGCCAGCCTAGGAAAAATTTCCCCTGGAAAACGCTCAGCTGGGAGGCAGCAAGGCACTAAAGCAGCCCCGGCTCAGAGAGAGATGGCCCTAAACTAAGGAGATTAACTTCTTAGCGTGAAGTTTCCTACGTGCGAATCACAACTGCCCACTAGAGTGAGAAATAATTCACCAGACCTCAGCCAAACTCGATGGCATCACCCGCATCCATCAGGAAAAGGGGGAAAACCCAGCGCCCAGCTCCGGGTCCCGGCTCCCCGGAACATTCCCGGCGTGTTTTCGGAGGCAGAGAACCCGAGCGAGTGACTCATCCCTTGGTACTTGCAAGGGACGAATTTTTCCTCCCTAAAGGAATGGTGCTCGCTCTTGCCGGATTTATTCATTCAACTCAGGTTTTCAAACTCGTGTCACGGGTTGGGTTTGGGTTTAATTCCGAGGAGGACAGTGAGGAAGCGAGCGGCCGCCACCGGGAACGTGCAAAGAGGATTATTTTACCTTGAGAAAGGTGATGTGCTGGGCGATTTTTTTTTTTTTTCCCCCGCTGCTGCTGCTGCAATCACACATTTTATGTTTTCCAGCTCAAAAAAAAAAAAACCAGGAGAAAACAATCTGGTGCGAAAGGGCTCGCGAGGCTCACAAAAGCCAGGCGAGGATTTTTTTTTTTCTTTTAGTTTTTTTTTCTGATACACTGGATTTTCTTCGGAATTACATAAACAGCGGTGTTTTTAAGTCAGTCTTTCACCGAAAGAAAGGGGGAAAATTGTGACTCAGTTGGCAAAGGGAGGGGTTGCACGCTCCACCGTCCCTATTCCTCCCCATTCCCGTTAGGATTTCGCCAGTTTTTACAGAAATCCGGCCCGCTCGCGTCCTATTTTAAAAGAAAACAAGCTCCCTCGTCAGCCGGCCCTGAGTCAGGCTGTTTAAAGAGGGATTAATTTATTCTCCCAGACACGGCGTTTGTTCCATCGGGGTTTTGTTGGAGCCCGGTGGAAGCTTGGGGTTGTTTTTTTTTTTTTTTTGTGTTTTTTTTTTTTTTTCTGTTGTTGTTTTTCTTTTTGAGCGGGGGGGGGGGGAGAGAGAAAAACAAGCAAACACCAAAAAAAAAATAAAATAAATAAAGCGCGATCTCATGTTTTGCGGGGGAAAATATAAAAATAAAATACAAATATGAATATCGGTGGTTTGTAATGAAAGCGGGAAGGGAGCGCGCTGCGGGGCGGCGGCGGAGGGAGAAAGTGCAGGAGGGAAGGAGGGAGAAGCGGAGCCGCGGGGCCGCTGAGGCGCTGCCCTGCGGGCCGGGTCGGGCCGGGCCGGGCCGGGCCGGGGGCGGGCGGGGGCCGGGCGGCCGCGCTGAGTGACAGCCCGGCCCGGCGGGGACCGGCGGGGCCGCGGCCGTGAGGGAGGGAGGGAGAGAGGGGGGGCGCGGGTAGCGCCGCCGCCGCGGGGCCTCACCTGAAAGAGGAACGCGGTCCAGTTGGCCTCCATGGCGGGGGCGGCGCGGCCCCGGGCGGCGGCGGCGGCGGCTGCGGCGGGCGGTCCCCCCGTCGCTCCCTCCCCCGGGCCGCAGCTACATGGAGCCGACAACAAAGCGGCGGCGGCGGCGGCGGCTCAACATGGCAGCGCCGAGCGGCCGCTTCCGCTAACCTCGGGCTGCACCACTGCGGCCCAGAGGGGGGAGGCGGCGGCGCGGCGCCCCGGCGGGGCGTCGATGGCCCGGGCGGCCGCGGCGCCGCCCCCGCCGCTCCCCTCGCCGCGGGGCGGGCGGCGGGCCCGGGGCGGCGCGGCGGGGCGACGGCGCGGGCGGCGGGGCCGGGGCGGCGCGGCGGGCCGGCCGCCCCCCCCGCGGGGCTGGCAATGGGCCGGTCCCGGGCTGGGGAAGCCGAGCTGTGGCGAGAGAAGATGGAGGAGCGGCCGAGGTGTCCGGGGCCGCCGCCGCCGCCCGCCCCGGCTCGGCCCCGGGGCCGCTGAGCCGCCCGCCCGCCCCTTCTCCCCTCCCCGCCCGCCCGCCGCCCCCGCCCGCCGCGCCGGGAGGGAGGGAGGGAGCCGCGGGGGCGGCGGGGGGCGGCTTCGCCCGCGGGTGCGGGCGGGAGGCAGCGCCGGGGGCGGAGGGGGGGGTGTGAACTCGGGGCCGCCCCGGGGGTCGCCCCGCGCTGCCACCGCCCTGGCACGGTCAGGCTCGTCCTCAGCCCACCCGGGCTCGCCCTCAGCCCTGTGGGGCTGCTGCCGCCTCGCCGGGCCGGCCCTGCCTCGCACCCCGCCTGGCCGGGCTCCAGGGGGGCCGGGCCCGTCGCTGTCCCGCAGCCGTGTCCCCCGGGCCCGCCGGCTCGGGCGGTGCGGTGACCCTGCGCAGACCCGCACGCCTCCACGGGGCCAGCTGAGTGGATTCGCCCGTACCTGAGGCATCTTCGGCGCAGCACATGCATGCAAATCGTAGCCACGAGCAATTAAATACATATGTACCGTTAATTACGTGTTTACATACATCAAGCACGTCCCTGACAGGCAGCAGGACGGGGCCCAGGGACTGCTCCTTGCACCTCTCTGGTGCTCCCAGGACAGGGAAGGGTGAGGGGGACATCTGTGCCCTGCCTCAGGTGGCATCTGAGGGACACCAGCATTTTCTTCTACACCTGAGTATGGCAGGTTTAACACTGTCACAGAAGGGGGTTTTAATCCTGACTTCCCCTCGCCTTCCCCGGCACTGGGGAGATGAAAACAGGCTTACAGCACTTGATTATTTATTTTCCCCCAGCTCTGGTCAATCCTCTTTGCTCAGGCCTGGATCCCCGCTGAGCATCTGAGGCCTCGGCAGCACCAGGCGCGGCAAGAAGCGGCCGAGGCGCCCTGGCTGCAGCGTGCAGGGCTAAATTTGGCCCCTCTGACTTCCTCCCCTATGGGACACCCGGGTGGTTTTTCTTGTCTCCTGTTACAGATAATGCAAAGGCCGGTCCTGAAGCCGCAGCTCAGCGAAACCCCGGCCCAGCAGGGAGGAGGGACAGTGGGGACAGAGCAGAGACCCGGGGACACTCGGCCCGCCGGCTCAGCTGTGGCTTTGTGCAGCGTTGGGCAGGTCACCTGGCTCCTGCAGCGCTGCTCCTCAGCCCTCCCCAGGCATTTCTTCACCTTCCAAGAGCATTGCAAAACAGTCTTCGTTCTGTTCCGAGAGATGCCTGCGGTTCTTTCACGCCTCTCAGGCTTTTTTCCTTGAAACTCCAGTGCCAGAGTCAAGTGGTTATGTCAAAATGTGTTTGCATTTGAAACAAAAAAGAGTTTCTCAGCCTTGTGACCCCAGAGGGAAGTTTGTGACTAAGTGCCCAGGGGCTTGGCTGCCTGGAGTGGCCCAGCCTGCTTGGGAGCACCTGTGGCTCCAAGGGTCCGTCTGCCTCAGGGAGTTTGGAGTCTGCTTGGTTTTGACCCCACCGTCTGCACCACAGCAGAGCTCTGCAAGATAGTGCCCATGCTCTGCAGAAGCAGAAACTGAGAAAAACAGACCAAAAAAAAGAGCCAAAGGGGTTTGCCAGTGCAGCACTCCACCAGCCCGGCTCGCCTGGAGATGGTCTGTGCTCATCGCAGATGTTTTTCCCAGCCGTGGCGCGGGATCAGCTGGATCACCCTCAGTGCAGCCCGTGTCCCTGTCCTGCCCTGTGTTCCTGCCCTCAGGAGAGCCCGCAGGAACCCCACGTTCGAGGAGAGGGGACACCACTGCCGCCCCTGGTTATTTCCCTCCCGGTCGCTCAGTTATTTTTGTTAACGCTTATTAAGGAAGACTTGGGAGAGCTCTTTGTTAAGGGCTCACACTCACTTCAATTAAAGGCTAAGAAAACTACCCAAGCGTATCACTGACTCATCGGAGAAATCCCGACGAGCACGTAGCCGCCTAAACTCTGTTCTTGTTTTCACAGCTAAAGGACCGAGGGGGGACACAGAAACAAAACCTGTGAGACTCACAGCTAAGTCAGATGAGAGGGAAACGGAGTTGGAACCCACTTCCCTCTCGGCAGTGCCTCTTTTACACATCCCAGCCCAGAGCCGGGTTGGGAGCAGAGCGAGCCGAGGCGCTGAGAGCCCCCGGGGGGAAGGACTCGCAGGAGCTCTATTTAGAAAGGGCAAGTCTGTGCCAAACCTGACGAACTTTCCTTTACCCAGAATTATAACTGGAAGTCTAAAAAGCCACAGTGTTTGAAAACACATATTTACATTATATATGCCCCAAAGCAGAATAAACAAAGGTTAGATTTGTAAACTCTCCATCTTAATTAAAGCAGCGCTGCTTAGGACAAACCCACATAACAGGCGGCTTGAAGTGTTGTGTTATTTAATTTATACCTTCCAGCTCCCTTAGTCATGGAGCTGGGACAGCGATAGCATCAGCAGGCAGCCACCCCGCTGTGCGGCGCACAGGGAATTTCTAGGGCACTGGGAACCGTGTGGCCCATTTACCACCGTCCCGAGGCTGTGCTTTCCTGCCTTTTCAAACTCAAATCTTCCCTCCTTCTCCCTTGGCGCTTCCCGCGTTGTTTGGAAGGAAGGGAATGCTGCTGGGTGTCTCCTGCCTCCAGTGCCAGTGCCGAGGCTGGTGGTGGGAGGCTGCCCAGGGACAGGCCAGCACCCGAGCTGCCCCTGCTGCCCCAGCCCTGCTCTGCCCGGTGCCAGCTCCGCGTATCCCCAGCTCCTGCTGACAGTCCCTGCTCCCATTCCCTGGGCTAGCGTGTGCTTGCACCACCTGCAATAGAAACTGCGGTCAAATATTTCAGCTTTAGAGGAACCCCTTTCTGTTCATGCTCCGAGTGCCACAGCAGGCTTTGAATTTCGCAGCTCTGTGGGGCTGAGAGCCCTCGAGTGTGTAAATAAGCTGCGCTGATGGTGCTGAGAATGTGCTCCCCGCAGGCAATTTCCTTCAGCTGCTTCCCAAATTCTGTCTTCTCTGGTTTCTCTCTTTGCAGCCTCGATTCTCTCTCGAAGAGATCAGGGACACTAAACAGAGACAGTGAATTACATTTGCGGGAAGCAGGTGTGGAAGCAGAGTGTGCCTGTTGGGAGGAGCCGTGGGATGATCCAGCATCCTCAGGAGAGCATCCCACGGTCTCCCACTGCCCAGCACCTGCTGGATGAGCACCCCTGACCCACAGCAAAAGGAGGGTGGACGGTGCTGCAGGGACAGACAACCCATTTATTGTGCATTGGGAAATGGAAATGGGAACAGAAAGGGACAGGAAAATGGATGGGGAAAAGGAAAGGGAAAGGGAAAGGGAAAGGGAAAGGGAAAGGGAAAGGGAAAGGGAAAGGGAAAGGGAAAGGGAAAGCGCTAGCCAGAGGGCCGGTCCCAGTCCCAGTCT